CACTCAGTCTAGGCAAACCGATCTGACGGAAATAAAATTGTATTTTCCAGGCCCAATCATCATAGCCCTCACCATTGAACTTCTCGATGGTGAATTTTTTCAAAACCTCCTTGATTAGGGAGCCCTGGTTTGTCCCCGCTCCCCTTGGCGCAGAAACACCAGAATCTTGGCTGCCGCTATGTTCTTGGGCTGAAGATTCACCAGCTCCCGTCGATGTATTGCCCGCCATAGCTACCTATAACGAGGATCACTATAACGCAGCTCTGATACCAGCTTGTTGGTGTAAGGGCCTAATAAACTCAAGCTACTAAGACTTAATCAAACTAAAAACCTCTCCTCGGGGTCACCTCCAAGGGTCCTTGGGTGCCTGGTACAAGACCAGCCCCTATCCTCGGATCCGAGTTTGTAGAGAGAGGAGTCAAGAATGACTTGGCCAAAATAATAAGAGTACCTTGAACGTCGCGCAGCGTATCGTGCAGACCGTCGATCGGATTAAGCTGAGAATTTCCTACATCGAAGCTCGCTTCAAGAGCTTTAAAATGAACCAAGTTGCCTCGCGAAGTTCTACCATTACGAAGTTATGCCTTGGACAGCGTTGGCCTATGGTTAGAGTACTAGCGTACTAGCGTTAACTTGGGTAGCATTCCACCGTCGCACCGCGTAGAAAGGAAATTCCAGCAAGGGAGGAATTCGCTTGAATCAAATTGACTATATCCATGTACAAACAGAGAAGGAATACATAGTTCTAGCTAGTAAGGACCTTGGGAATCAACTTGGGAACAACCAGGGATGATCCCAAATAATTCCAAGCAACAGAATCAACCTGGGAACAACCAGGGATGATCCCAAATAATTCCAAGCAACAGAATCAATCTGGCTGGACAAAACAGCAGGTGGTAGGTTGGTAAACAACCTCTGGTTATGTTTTTCCAACCTGGGAAAACAACAACCAGGTTTAGGTCCTAAAAACAGAAGCTGTTCTGTCTTTGCCTTACCAGCCAAATGCTGGTTCCGCTGGTTTCCCCCCGCCCTGTAGCATGCAGATACAGACAAACAACATCCAACCTTTACCTAAATTGTACATCTTTAGTGCCTGCCCTGCTACACTATAGTCAACCAAACAAAACAGTACAATTTTGAGTTGGATAGAACTGAATCTGCGCAATCAAGTAAGCCGAACCACAAAGCTTCCATCTTGGGTTCCTTTGTGAGCTTGTCCTTTCTGCTTGCACTGTTCATTGCGCGTACAATGTTTTTCCGAAGCGCACAATGCGCGAGTACTTGCAAATGCTTCAAGCAAAAATTGCGAAAGCAAACAAACACATGAACATTGCCTTTATCGCAAATGCATTCGCACACGCATACTCGTACAAACAAACGGTAGGATGTCATGCAATGTGAATTTGCACCCAACATAAACGTTGCCGATGGTCCGTTTTTGTTGGAGCCGAAACTGTGTCGCTTGAACTTTTTCTTTAGACCCAGCTGTCGAACCTGCGCAATACCTGCGCTTTTAAACCAGCACAGGGCTAACAGGTCTTATAGTGCCTTCAAGGCACCTGGTTGAAGGTATGTGAGCCGTCCTAAGACTTTGGCCGGTAGGGAGCTTGATCTGCTACCGCCGCTTAGTCGTTAAACCCGGCCTCAGCAAAAATGTTGTTTTCGTAGGTTGTTCTCTCACCTCCAGGAGCCGAAACCCGTTTCTCTTGGTAGACCCGTATTTGACGAAACTCCGTGTATTCTAGCTAGTAGAACACTCAGAATTCGCGGGTCTAGATGCTCTCAGAATCCCAACCACTAGACCATTGGGATAAAAGGGCTTGTTTCAGTAGCGGGTCAGTGCGCCCATAACCCCCCAGGCAAATGTGCCTGTAACCCTTCCCTAGGATCGATCGGGGATCACCAGTGGACCTCTGACACCCCCCCGCACTGGGATGCCCGAAGTGCATACACCGGGATTCGAACCCGAGACCTCCGCTCTGGATACCATCTCAAAATCCCAACCACTAGACCATTGGGATAAAAGGGCTTGTTTCAGAGCAGGTCAGTGCGCCCATAACCCCCCAGGCAAATGTGCCTGTAACCCTTCCCTAGGATCGATCGGGGATCACCAGTGGACCTCTGACAGATGCTGCGCCGAACCGTTGTGCCGTTGGTGAACTGCTCGTCTGCGACACAACTTCCTCTGGCCGGAGAAATTTGTGCTGCCTGAAGTAATGTATCGGCTGCCACTGTTGCTCCGATTAATTTCTCCGAGTGTTGGTGCAGGCACAGAAGGGACCCTAACGGAACAGTCTGGTCGTAGACAGTCCTGCCACTTGCCGCACGCATTAACTACGACCACATGCAGACGCCAACTCACACCACGTGTGCCTCCGACAACTTCAGACGTGCACCGACGGCGATCCTGTTGACATCAACTGCCACACAAATTTATTTCGAAGCTGACAAAAACGCACACAACTTACATACGCATTAAATGCAACAACAGCCAAAGCTGTCCGCCACCCAGGAGGAGGGAGGCCACGGTCGATCTCGACCGTTGAGGGCAAGGATCCGTCGGTGCCGCTGGAGCGCCTGTAAAATTCATGGCCGCTAGGAGCAACTACCTGTTCTCCTGGCCGGCTACTGCGCTGTTCCTGTCACCACATCATCCTTCCGTGTCCCCCACCCCAAGGGGTAATATACTCTATAATGCGGGGTGAGCTAGGAAAATAGCTATGATACCAAGTGTTATGACTTGTACTAAACAGAGTGCGCGGAAGACTTTTTAAAAGGATGTGAAGTATAGAATGACAATAACGATAAAGGAACAATCATTTATAGGGTCGAAATCATGCTAGACAAGGACCTCGGGACGTGGTTGGTTTGGAAGTATCGCGATTTGTGCGGGACGACTCGGCAGTGGTTCGAGCCGAAATGTAGGCCGAACCGAAAGCTGACACGCAGTGTTCGGGGCTCTCCTTGCTAAGGGCAGCTTCAGCAGTAATGAATTGTATATTCATTACAGCACGTGTACGCTGCTATAACCTGCAGATGTAACGCTGGACGGCCACCTTGCTGCAGCGTTGGAAAGCCGCGGACTAGCTACGTTGGCAAGCCACTATTCTGCAGTGTTTGAGCGGTACGGACTTGCAGTGCTGGCAGGTCGCCGAGTTTGCTGCGCTGGAGGTTGACCTGCGTGTGTGCTAGGCGAAATTGTTTCGGATGTAGTCAGTTTTGCCATTGTTATTGCAACTTTCTCCAGTAAACCTCTTTCCAATTCTCTTTGTGAATCAGCAAGTAGAGAGAACGCTAAGAAAGGTTGCGATCACTCACATAACCCATGCCTACCCCGTAGTCTCGCTCCCACCATTGTAGAGTGACTCCCCGCATAAGTAATGCACCAAATCTTGGTACCAATCATATGGGTAAGTAACGCAGTTACTCTTAGTACCAACCATATGGGTAAGTGTTGGGTGCAAATCTACTTTGCGTGGGTCAGCTTCTGTCCGCAATTCACCTGACGTTACCGCGAGCTAGGTAGCATTAACAAACCCACTCACTTCGGTCGCGTTTCATGTTTTGTTGTTTTAGCTTCCTTGCGCGATTTACTTGTGGTTACCTCGATGAAGGTAGCAATAACGATGTCTCCTAGCAAACATGCCTTGTGACCTCGGTTTCGTTCTATGTTCTGCCTTTGGATATTGTTCATGGTGACCCTATATGTAACGCGACCACATCAGCCTGCACTTGGTTGTGTTGCCTGTAGATGTGACCACGTTACACACAGAGATATGTTTGTACGCGTTGATGCTCTGGCCATTTGTCCGTCACCTCCCGTACAGCATGGTTACCAGGAAGTGTGAGACCCAGTCATTGCAGGAGTCGATCAACGTGGTTCCCTCCAATGTTGTTGCGGACATCGTCGCAGGGGGAGAGACCGCGCACACGGCGTTCGACGAAATGTTTGGCTATAGGCTGGTCGCGTTCTGCCTTTGGTCCGAGTAAGTACCCCTCTGTCATTTGATAATCGTCTGCATTCCTACTATATGGGCTCACACGTTTCTTCGTGTGTTATATTCTGATGGCACGGACTTGAGTGACAAGTAGGCTTCAAATACATGCATGCTGCTGCTTTTGCGCCTAGACCAGCTGGGATTTGAGGCGATTGCAATTTGGAAAATGTGGTTTGTCCATGTCTGCCACTCCACTGCTGCGGCTGAACAGCTTTCCACGATCAAGAATATTGTCGAGTAAGATAATACTAGTTGGAGCTGTTATAGCGTCGGATCGCTATTCTATTTGTTGTAGGTGTTCATTTGAACAGCATTGCTCCCTATCAATATTACAGGTGGTTCCAGGGCCGCGTGTGCGAGACTTTTGAGCGCGACTCCATCTAGTGTATCCGGATGATATATTGTGGGTTAACTACGATCGCGTTCATTTGCACTAACCACACACCCCTTTTTCTTGGCCGTTTCTAGGATATCTCGTCTTGGAAGGCCCCTTGCAAACCACTCTCATATAGGTACACGTTCGACCAAATCCTCAACGAACTCAACGCGGTTGTTAGACACGACCATGCGCCCCGTATCGCCAAGCCGATTCCACAAACCCTAACGGAATTGCAGCGGGATGCGAAACGCGCCGTAGACGAGCTCGCATTCAAGTCCAGCATGCATTTGAAGTGCTGCGGTTTTGCGGACAATCACGGAGGGGATGCCCATGGGAATGAAGGTGGGAGGTCGCAGGAGCATGCTGCGGGTTCGGGTGTTTCTGGTCGCAAGGCCCTCGCGCTCACAACTGCATCTGCGCTCGCGAATGGCGGAGGTGGGGCGGATGAGGCAGCAAAATAGGTGGGTTCGGGCCACAAGGACGAGGGCTCGAGCTCTGACCGCGACGATGATGGCCCATAGACCGCGGTTTAGGGTGGACGTGACGAGAAGGCATCGGGGGTGGCAGATGGTCAGGGTCGTGGAGAGGATGACGTGTCGGCTGCGGATCGAGAAGATGTCGCAATGGATAACCAGGGTGGTGATTTGGTGCTGGAGGGGTCGGACGACATGGAGGAGGAAGAGGACGAAGAGGAGGGGGAGAAGGAGGAGAAGAAGGACGAGGAGGAGGAGGAGGAGGAGGAGGATGAGGAGGAGGAGGAGGAGGAGGACGAGGAGGACAAGGGCTGGGAGAACACTGGGGCTGGGGCAGCTGTCGCGGTCGCGGCTGCCGGGAAGTGTATTCGTCGTCTCACTGCAGCACTATCCCCTCGTGCAAGAAGCGCGGCCTCATCGGGCGAGGTTGCGCTCAAGAGGCTGGTTACGGGGAAGAGGAAATTTGAGGAGCTGGTTCAGATGAAGCCTGGTATGCAGGCCGAGGAAATTCTTCGCCTGGACGAGCAGGTGCAGACACAGAAGCGCCGTATCACCAAAGTCGAGGCTCGCGTGTTCGAGAAGGGCAGTGGTGATGCAGCTGCGCTGGTGATCGGTCGGTGGAGAGTTCCTGCGTCACGTGCACCACGCGGAGGCGGTGATCATCAAGGAGGCGAAGGCGTCCGCGAAGGACAGAGCCAAGAACCGCGATCTTCGGGACATGCTGAAACGCACTGCTGCTCGTGGAAGACGGCACGGGTACTTTGAAGGGGGTTGTCGCGGACTCCATGGAAGCCGCCCAGAAGAAGCTGACGGACGAAATCGCCAGGAAGGTTGACGGCTCGTCTACCTCTATTACTACCACGCCCGTACGCGCGATCACGACCAGCGGCATCACCAACGCCCTCAACACCGTCATTGCCATGCTTTCAGGTCACGGAATGCCGCCCTCGGGCACAAATGGACCATAGGAGAAGGAGTCGGCCGAGGCCGCGGACAAGGAGACAGGGAAGAGGGCCGTAGTGCTGAGGGCTGAAAGCAGCCGGGATGGGAAGCGGCAGAAGGGTCCCGCGGTCCCGAGTGTTACGGACATCTTGAAGAGCAAGGGGGGCGCGGTTGCAACGCGTGTATCGCAATATGTTGCGGCACGGTCGATCCTGCAGGGAACCACTATGGAGGATGCTGCTGCGAGACCACCGCCTACGCCCGTAGCCGTGGGTAAGGGCAAGGGTAAGGTCGAGGTTGCCGCGCTGGCCACCACCACCACCAACACTGCTGTCATGCCTGCGGCTGGCAACACCAACACCAACGCTGCCCATCGCGGTCACGTGGGAATGCTTGTCCCGGTAGCAATCGCGAACGCGTCTGGACAGCCTGGACCCAGCGCGACCGCACCTGCATTACCCCCCGCTGCAGATGTCACTGTCAAGGCGAAGAATCAGGGCCGTAGAGGTTGTAAGCCGCCTGCACCCGCGATGAAACCGAACGATGACGACAACTCCGACGAGGACGATAATGTTGAGCTGGTGCTGCAAAGGTTCATTGGTCCGAGCAACATCGGCGGCAATAGCGGCAAGAGAAAGGGCTGTGGTAGCCGCAATCCGCCCAGGGGTGGAGGGGGGATGGTCGGGGAACCGTGGCTGGGGGGGAGACGTCGGTGGCTAGGACATCACTCCCTCGCAGAGGTGCACTACCTCACCGCGATCGCTAAGATGTGTTACGAGAAGAGGGTGGACGCCGGGCTTAAGCTGACTCCGTAAAAGTTAAGGGACTGGGCCGAGGACATCACCGCACTACGAGTCAGAGTAGGTGTGTTACGCTGAATCAGGGCCGGTTGATTCGCCAAGGAGACATTTGTAGCCCCATCCGTAAACTCCTCCTTCTGGCAGAGCGGGTTCCTGTCCACATACGAGTGCTTTGGCTGGTGAATGTAATACATTGCCAGGTCGGTCGCGATCGTCATCCAACCCTCGCCGTCCAGCTCTCGCGGTATATTCCCGCGGTGTCCTGCTTCTCCGGCTTCTCCTCTTTGACCATCCGCCTGTTGTAATCCAGCGGCTATTGGCCGAGCAAAAGGACGCGGTTAGGAATGCGGTGGAAAAAAAAAAAATCATATTGGGATTGCACGCGATTGACTTAGAGAACAGCGCGGGACCTTAACGTGCCTGATTTTGTCCCTTATCAGCGGCGACCCATGGAAATATGTGCTCCTTCAGTAGCTTCACCAGCTCTTTGCTGGGCGGGACTTTTGCGCGACCCAAGTAGTAGTCACCGTCGACCCCTGTAAAACCCGCCTTCAGCAACATGGCCTCCTTCGGAATCGTGTTGAAGTAATGTTTAGTCATCACATCTATGAAGCGCCAGCCACCCAGCCTCGCCAGCTGATCCAACGGCATGCCGTCCGCGGACGCATGCTGCGCACCACCTGCCCTGGTCACGGGAATAATTCGAGAGCATGCGATTCCTGTGTCCTCTAGAATTTTTGCCGACCAGTCGTGATTAGTCGTGGGCGGAATCTGCTTCTTAATTCCTTTCAAAATGGGAAAGAAGAGGTACTGGTCGTACCACTTCGCGGGGTCCGAGAAGTCAAGTGGGGGGGCTATGTACTCGTACAGGACGCGAACCACGTTGTATATCCAGTGCAGCCACATTAGTGTGGCACCGACCGCGCACGGCGTCTAGTCGATGTGCCGCACTGCCGAGATGTAGTTGAGCGAGAAGTTCTTGTTGGTCTTGCGCGTCCTGCACTCGCTTACAAACATGAACGCGTCCCTCACCGGACCGGTCTCCGATTTAGCGTTGAACTTCCATATCATCATGTCTGGCAGCTGAAGGTTTCTGATGGTGCACCCACATGCTAGAGTGTGAAGACCAAGCACGGTTACTGTCCAGATGCAAAGATTGCGATGCAGGCCCAGCGCGTAAACACATTAAACAAGTGCGAAGCTCTTCAAGTTGGAGTCCATGCTGCTCTTCTGCATCATGTTTTTGAACCGGTCCAGGCTGTATGTGTCCGCGGCCGTGCCCCAATGGCGATCCATGTGTTCCCTGCGCCATCATTAGCACGATAGTACCCGTGTTAGTTGACGCGGAGTTTCGGATACTGCACGCGGTACAAGCCTGATCACACAGACAAGCTACGCATATTCACGCAATAAAACGCTTGTACTGGTCGCGGACTTGTACACGGACACACACACGACACTCTGCAAAGTCACACAGCAGGTTCGGCACTGGTTAGCGGAAGATGGCCCCATCGAGCTTGATGAGCAGGTTCAGGGCCTTGAGATGGCCCATCAGCATTGCAGGTGTGAGAGTACGACGTCAGCTATGCTTGCTTGCCTTTGCTTTATTATGTTGTTTCTAGCTTAGATATATTTTATCATGCATAGATATGCTTCATTTCCTAAATTAGGTGCATTCCTATATTCTATTATAGTTATAGCACCAAACCAGGTTACATGTGCCTAACTCAAGCCTTTCGGTTCCCACCAAATAGCTTTCTAACGAGTTCGGGAAGGTTCTGTTTGGGACGCTTCGCAGCCCTCAGAATATTCGCGTAACACCTGGGTTACTTGCCTTGTGTCGAGACTATATATAGCCTCGTATTGTACTCGGGTGGAGCAATCAATATTCATTCTGCAATTTTGAACTCGATCCTCGATCCTCACACTTGGTAATCAGAGCTCATTTACATGCGAAAATCTTTCGACCGCTAAAAAACAGACTTCAAGAGCCGCGGGGGCGACAAACGCTAAACATCGATTTCGGGTACGTAAAACCGGTTCCGTGTTTTTTTAGTCCCCCTCGATTCAGTTTCGAACGCGATGTTGGCAAGAATGGAAGGGCAAGGCGACAACTTCGTGCAAGAAATCGCCAGCCTTCGCAACGACGTGGAACAGACGCGGACGGCACTTCAACGAATTGAAGCCCTCCTCGCGAACCAATCGGCAGCCGCAACAGCAGTAGCAAATGTCAGAACATATCTATAGCTTATACTGCTGTGTAGGCTGTAGTGGGGTATCCCATAGGGGGTACAACCCAGTTAGGGTTTCATATTTGTACTGCTTTCGTTCATAGTTCATTCATTCCTGTTTTCCTATTTTGACATGGTATAGAGCGGGTCCTACCTTAGGACCGTTGTCTGGGCCCACCGACGCGCGCCCCGAGGCGCGCCCTTTTTTTTTTAGCGACCTCTCGGGTCGCCTTTTCACTCGCGGCCCCGCCGCCTCCTCTGACGCGGCTTTGCCGCCTCCCCTGACGCGGCCCAGCCGCCTCCCTTGACGCGGCCCCGCCGCCTCTTTTAACGCGGCCCCGCCGCCTCCCTTGACGCGGCCCCGCCGCCTCCCTTGACGCGGCCTCGCCGCCTCCCCTGACGCGGCCCCGCCGCCTCCCCTGACGCGGCCACGCCGCCTCCCTTGACGCGGCCCCGCCGCCTCCCCTGACGCGGCCCCGCCGCCTCCCCTGACGAGGCCCCGCCGCCTCCCCTGACGCGACTCCGCCGCCTCCCCTGACGCGGCCCCGCCGCCTCCATTGACGCGGCCCCGCCGCCTCCCCTGACGCGGCCACGCCGCCTCCTCTGACGCGGCCCCGCCTCTGCTGCCGACGGCCCCGCCGCTGCCCTCTACGGCCCGCCGCTGCACCCTGCCGGCCCGTCGCTGCTCCTGCCGGCCCGCCGCTGCACCCTGCCGGCCCGCCGCTGCTCCTGCCGGCCCGCCGCTGCACCTACCGGCCCGCCGCTGCACCCATCGGCCCGCCGCCTCTTACGGCCCGCCACTTGCACCTGCCGGCCCGCCGCTGCACCTGCCGGCCCGACGCTGCACCTGCCGGCCCGACACTGCATCTCCCGGCCGAGCCGCCCCAGCAGCCGAGCCGCCCGGGACCCGAGCCGCCCTGCCGCCGAGCCGCCCGGGAGCCGAGCCGCCCTGCACCCGAGCCGCCCAGCCGCCGAGCCGCCCGGGAGCCGAGCCGCCCTGCACCCGAGCTGCCCAGCCGCCGAGCCGCCCCGGAGCCGAGCCGCCCTGCGCCCGAGCCGCCCAGCCGCCGAGCCGCCCGGGAGCCGAGCAGCTGTGCACCCGAGCCGCCCGGTCGCTGAGCCGCCTTTCTGCTGACTGCACGACCTGCCCTGCCTGGTGAGCACTGTCCCACTGACACTGCGAGCTCTTTCCCTACTGCTTGCACTGCGTCGCTGTCGTCACCATGGCTACCCCTAGTGTCCTAGCTTTTGACGCTGAGGGTCGCGCCATTGATTTTGAGGTCTGGTTAGACGACCTGCAGCTGTTCTTACAGTGCGACAGGGCTGACGACCTTTCTCTCTTTGACCTCACCTCTGGCGCCTCTCCTGCCCCTGCTGCTGATGCTGATCCCGCTGTCCGCTCTAAGTGGGCCACCCGCGATGCTGCTGCACGTCTTGCTGTGCGTCGCCACCTCCCTACCTCTGAGCGTGCGCACTTTAGTCAGTACAAGAGTGCTCAGACCTTGTACGACGCTGTAGTTGCGCGCTACTCCTCCCCTGCCACTGCTGCACTGAGCCGTCTCATGCTTCCCTACCTCTTTCCTGACCTCTCTGCCTTTCCCACTGTCGCTGACCTCATTACGCACCTCCGCACTAGTGACACTCGCTACCGCGCCGCCCTTCCTGCTGAGTTCTGCGCTAAGAACCCCCCCCCCATGTACATCGCTCTCTACTACGTAGTCGCACGCCTCCCTGACTCCCTTCGCGTCGTCAGGGACCACTTTCTCGCAGTCTGTCCCACCACTCTCACCGTCGACCTCCTCGAGAAGGCCCTCCTTGCAGCGGAGAAGAGCATAGTCGCTGTAGGTGCTTCTCGTGGTGACCCTCGCACCCCCATCTTTGAGGGGTGCTCTCCTTCCCCCTTGCTGCCCTCTGTTGCCTCTGCTGCTGCTGCCGACCTGCTTGGTCTTGAGTCGGTCGGCGCGGCGTCTGCCCCTAGTGGGAGACGTCGCTCCAGCAAGGGCAAGGGGGGCAAGGGCGCGGGTGGAGCTGGAGGGGGCGGTGGCGGTGGCGGCGGTGGCGGCGGAGGGAGTGGGGGTGGCGGCGGGGCTAGTGGCGGGGGTGGTGGTGGTGGTGGCGGCAGCAGCGGCGGAGACGGTGGTGGTGGTGCCAGCGGTGGTGGTGGAGGCAGCGGCGGAGGTGGAGGCGGCGGAGGTGGAGGCAGTGGAGGCGGCAGCGGAGGAGGCAGTAGTGGTGGAGGAGGTGGAGCTGGTCGGGGTGGTACCCAGCAGCGTAGCGGCGGTGGTGGTGGCCAGCGCTCGCACCGGCAGCAGCAGCAGCGCTCGCGGGACATCCCTTCGCCTCAGCAGCTTCGTGAGTGGTACGCTGGGCGTCAGAGGGGTGGGGGTACTGGTCCCTGCACCTACGTTCTTCGTTCCGGCGACCGCGCGGGTGAGCAGTGTGGGGGTGCCCACGCCACCCAGCGCTGCTTTGGCCGCCTGACGGACGCTTGGCGTCAGCAGTTCCCTGGGGCTAGTGAGATCCCTCGCTGGGATGAGCTTCTCAGGGCTGGTGTAGCGATCTTTGATCTTGATTTTGATGCTATCCTTACTGCTATGTATGTTGTGGATTATAGTGAGGAGAATGAGGGTTACCGGTGTTTTCAGCCCGACCCGGGCATTGGTACTGCTGCGCTAGGTGCTTGTGAGGCTGCCGCTCTAGGTGCCAGTGCGTCTGCGCTCTCAGGTACTGGTGAGACTGCGCTCTCAGGTACTGAGTCGTCCTCGTCCTCCCTCACTTTCACAC